ACCGCAAGTCTGTTATAAGATTCGTCAGGACACTATTAGGTTTCTGTGTGTAGAGTATCATGACTTTGTGTTTAGCTGTTGGTGACCACAGCAATGGGAAAGGGGAAGGGTGTGAGCCCCCTGCTGGGCAAACAATTCACACATCTCTATAATAACATTGGTACAGAGGTAAAACAGACAGCAACTAAAGCTGTCAATGTTTTGATAGTAAAACACAGTACACAACTGCCACAATAAAATGATAAACCTAGTAGGCTAGGTAAAAAAAAAAAAAAAAAAAGGAAAAAAAGTGTCTTGTATTAAAGCAAAAGGTGCTTTAACAAAAATTAGTTAAGAGGTGTGCACATGTGTGCAACCAGGTTATTGTAAGTTTTTTTCTATTTCTTTTTTACTAAAACATTTCTATTTGTTTTTCACTTGAATTTTGTTGGTTGCTACATCACATTAAAGGTGGAAAAAGATCTGACATGATTTATCTTGGTTTCATTTTTTACATCACAAAAACCTGCAATTTTAACAGGAGTGTGTAGACTTTTTATATCCACTGTAGCTGTATTCCTTTGCAATTTCCACACACTATGTCTGCCTCAATCAGAACTATCTTCAGCTTTTAACCTTTCATAAAAAAAAAAAAAAACACATGTTGCCTGAATTGGAATTCTTTATAATCAGTTTTGAAAAGTTGATGTTTTCAGGGTCACGTTTGACAATTCTCTGACACTGAATCCACAAGGTGTTACAGAATATAAGAGCATCCTTGGAATAATAATCATTTTTTGAAATACTATTTGTTTAAGTTGGCTTGGCTCTGGTTTTAATTTTCTCTCACTTCATTCCTTTCTTTCTTTAATTTGTATAAAGTTTTTACCAATTCTTCTCCAGTTTGCTCTTGTGACCCTGGCCACTGATGTGTATTAAATCTATGTAACTCCTAGAATTTTCCAACATGTCACTTTAAAATATGATGGGGTTAAAATGTCATCTTTAATTTTATATGGTTTAGCCTAAAAGTCACACTGTACATAAGACTCCATTATCCTTAGGTCATGCTTATGAACACAGAAGTATGTAAGTATATAAGAATCTCATGGGGAATATAGAAAATTATAATTCTTACTGAAAAGTAGGAATGCAGGAGGGCTGGGTTGCCCTACACTAAAATCAAACCAGGCTCTTACTGTCAAGTTTGCACGCATAACTCAGGAAGACTGTGTTCCATTTGCACGGGATCATGGGAATAGGAGGTTTGTAGTGCTCTTGCCATCAAAACTTGTGCCAATGCTTCCTTTTTCTCCATTGCAGTTTACGTACAAACATATATTGAGTGGTACTATGGCGCATTTAACTCCTAACATTTTCTCTTAAAGCAAGTATTGTCTCAGTGACATGTTTTCACGAATGTGGTGCATTTTTAATATGAGCACCCTCGGAAAATCAAACATACATTGCAAACACAGTATTCCGTCACATAAACATGGCTTGCCAGTGATGTCATTGCAAGTGTGCTTATTTTTGACTACTACTCCACATAAAAGCTCACCATTATGTACTAAAATGAGAAGACATTTTACCGTATTTTTCATGACTAATAACTCAGGCTAGGCCACACCAGTAAGCACTTCAAACTTAAATAATGTTGTGTATGACAAAGTCTCCATTCATTCATAGAAATATAAACAGGTTTCATGGCTATGGTGGTTCATGTGGAGTTCTTACAGCAGATATGCTTTTTTCTAGTGCTTATCTGAAAAATCACAATTAAATTATGCTAAATATCATTGTTTCAAAAAGAAAGAAACACCTTCCCCTTGTAATTTATTTGCGATGCTCTGTGTGCTGGTCTGCTATGGGAGAGAATGTTCTGGAAAAGCAGATGGAGCTGTAGAGACCATAGTGGTTTCTGTCATGAAGAGCTGGAATGCTGAAACAGGCCCAGATGAATACGTTATCATGGAAACAGAGTAAGTTGTGTACACATTGTATCCTACCCAATGAAAAGAAGCACAGTTCTCAAAAAAGTACTCTGGACGTAGGCATGCTTCCCCCAAGTCCTTTTTGGGAGACTGAAATGCTGCTGTTTCCACAGATGTTGGTCTGTAATGATTTGGTTGGCGTCATGAAAGTTTGATTCCTTTTTCTGTCTTGTCTTTGAGAAGATGGGTACTTCGCTTAGATTATACTAATAATAATTACGCCAACAGTAATTCTTTAGTCCATTCATCAATGTATATACCACTGTGCACAGAAAGATTGTGCATCCATTCCAGTCAAGTATACTACATGTTTATCCAAGTTTACTACAAGTATCCTAATGTCCACTTTAATAGGAACACTTGTACCCCTGTACTCATTCATGCAATTATCCAATAATAATTACATAGCCTTCCTGTAAATTACATATGGATAGCATATATTCTTCGGAAATCCATGATCATCTCCACCGTCTTCAACATGTTTAGCTATAGGTCGTTCCGTTCACACTATGAGACAAGATTTGCTCCCTCTCTCCTATACATGGATTCATCATTATTGGAGATGAGGCCCACCATGGTTGTGTCATCTGTGAACTTTAAAAGCTTGTCGGATGGGTCACTGGGTAAGTAGTCATTTGTGTAAAGTGAAAACAATAGTGGCGAGGGAATCCAACCTTGAGGTGCACCTGTGCTGATGGTTAGAGGGTCAGACAGGTGATGACCTAGACGTACATACTGTCTCCTCTCTGACAGGAAATCAGTTATCCACTGACAGGTGCTTGGGTGGATGGCAAGCTGTAAGAGCTTGTTGTGGAGTATTTTGGGGATTAAAGGCAGAGCCACAAATAAAATCCTGGCATATGTGTTTGTGGAGTCAAGGTGTTGGAAAGTGCAAAGAAGACAAATGTTGAGAGACGGAGAGCGGTTTGCCCTATAGGCGAATTGTAGAGGGTCCAGGAGAGGTTCTGTCACTGAGTTCAAGGGTTTTAGAACCAGATACCCAAAGGACTTCACCACTGAGGTCAGTGCCACTGGCCTATAGTCATTAAGGGCAGTCATAATGCTTATGGCATTATGCTTAGGGCAAACTTTACGGCAATCAGGAACTCTACTCTAGGATTGTAGTGATTCATTGAAGATATATATGAAGACCAAGCTGGTCTGCACAGTTTTTCAAGGTGCCCAGAGAGACACTATCAAGCCCTGAAGCCTTGCATTTAGTTTTTTGAAGATCTTGTTAACTTGCTCTGAAGTGATAGTGAGTGGGGAGTGTGAAATGGGTGTAGCGGCATCCTGCAGTGATGAGGAAGGGACCGTTGAGCCATCCATTATGGTGGGAGGGGGAGGACTCTGAAAGTGCCTATAGAATTGGTTCAGTTGATCTGCGAGAATGGGCGTGTGGAGTGCCTGGGAACTCCTGCGTTTGTAGTTGGTGAGCGTTAGCAAGGAGCCCCAAACAGCCCTAATGTTGTTGCTAGAGAACTCCCTCTCTGGCCTTTCCTTACAGCCCCTCTATGCAGCCTTTAGTGCTTTGTTAAAATATTGCTTAGCAGCGTGATACTCCTCTCTATTTCCAGCCCAGCGAGTACACCAGGATTGAGCACTCTCAGTTCCTTAGTGAACCATGGATATCATTATTGTACCTCACTACAGTTTTTTTGGTAGACAAGCCTCTTCACAAAAGCATATGTAGGATGTAACAGTGTCAGTGTATTCATCCAAATGGTTGCAACAAACTCTCATTGCTGACCAGTCAGTGGTGCCTAGGCAGTCCTGTAGCTCCTCCACTGCTTCAGGAGTCTATTGGCATCTGATTGTCCTGGATGGTTTGTTTTTGCTTGCCTGTAAGTGGGTACAAGCATGATCATGGCATGGTCAGAGTTTCTAAGTGGTGTGTGAGGGAGGGCACAGAAAGTGTCTTTTGTTGGTGGTGTCAAGATGGTCCAGAGATCTGTTCTCTCTTGTGGGGCATGTGATAACCTGATGGTATTTAGGGGAATTATCCTTCATACTGCAGTGATAGAAGTCCCCAGTCAGTCGAATGACTGAGCAAAGCAGTCTATTTTCAATATCATGACCAATAAGGTGATTACTGAAGAAGAATGAGTGAATATATGTATGTGTGGTATACTGTATGTACTTAATGCACTTATGTATATTACACTTTAAAAATGTATTGAAGTATACTATAATTCAATAAGGGAATTTTCATTCTTGTTCATTGGTACCTATAGTTTCCCCCTCTGTGAGCCAAGACATTTCAACTAAAACAAACTTGAGCTGTGTAACAGTCTGCCATGCACATCATAATTGCAAGAGAAAGCTGTGAAGACCCAAGATCACTGAGAATTATTAACATATCCCCGAACCATACGATTGTGCTTTTGTTGTGCAATTGTGAAGACATATTTGTGTAGGTGATGACAGCTAAGAGAAGAGATATTCTGACCTTCAGCACAGAGTTGGCAATTGGCAGTTTAAAAATACAGCATGCTGGCCTCATTAGCACCATGTGTTCAGCAGAACTCCTGCTGGATCTCCACACTAGTTGTTATGTCTGGGTCATTACTGGAGCTCAGAACTTATTTCTAATTGAAAAAAGGCACATGCAGCTTTAATACTCAGTTTCTTTCAGCACCTTCATGAGCTGAAGTGAAGAAAGCATACTGTATGTATCACACAAGCCTTCTCACACACATGCATGCACAAATACTTGAATATTTGTCATAAAGTGGCACACCATTTAACAAATTCAGCTGCCAGAACAATGTTCACATTATATTACTGATACAAGGTATAGACTATTACACTCAGTGGAACTACTGCACTGAATGGAAACACAAATTTGTATGTAGATATATTCCAATAAATCTATATTTAAATTACAAATCTATTGTTTTGGCAGTGAAGACCATGTCTTGATTATACCTTCTTAGTTCCTGGACTTTATGATAACTGAGAACAAGACGCTATCAGTCAGTATATGATAGTAGTCAGTTGGTGGAAACAAATATTTTGAACTGTTTTGTTTCCATGGTGTAATGGTCAACACTATAGGCTTTAAACCCACTGATCTGAGTTTGAATCTTTGTGGAACCTGGAAAGTTTCTGCTCAATGTATGTGTACATCCTTAGTCCCTGACCTCTGTGATATCTAAGAACAAGAAGCTATTGATGAGTATATGCTAATATTAGCTGGGTGGAAACTAAAATGTTTGCAGTGTTTTGTTTCCATGGTGTTATAGTTAGCTCTCTGCACTCTGAATGCTGCAATCTGAGCTCAAATCTCAGTGGAACTTGCAACATCTTTCCTCAAGGTTCCTTAGACTGAAGATGTTAAGGTATCTGGTTTGATCTTGGGTTTTGACAGCGAAGGCCATGTTTTGGTTATACCTTCTTAGCCCCTGACCTTTGTGATAAGTCAGAACAGAAGATATCAGTCAGTATAACCTTCAGTTGGTGGAGTCTAAAATCGGAAAGTATCTTAGATCCATGGTGTAATGCTTAGAACTCTGGACTCTCAATCAAGCCATCTGAGAATATCCTAGTCTTCAGTTGTGGAAACAAAAGGTTTGAAGTGTCTTGTTCCATGGTGTAATGGATGTCTGAGTTAAAATCTTGGTGGAAACTGCAGAGTCTTTGCTTAAGATTCTTTGCTATTGTAGAAAGTAAAAATCATCTCCTCCTTGCTCCATGTAATGATGAGTATGCTAGATTCTAGTCAAGATGAATATGGACCAATTTTTTAGGTTCATATAATAAAACTCTGTCTTTCTTTGGCCAAAGTAGCATAGTAGGGCGAGTGTTAGACTGAAAATTGAAAGGTTCCTGGCTCAATCTTGGGTTTTGGCAGTGAAGGCCACATTTTAGTCCTTAACCTTTGTGATAACTGGGAGCAATATCAGTCAGTATATGCTAATGTTCAGTGGGTGGAAACTAAAATTTCAGTGTGTTGTGAGTGCTGAGTTCAAGTCTCAGTGGAATCTACAAAGCCTTTATTCAAGGTTCTTTACTGTTGTAGTAAGTTTAAAAAAAAATTGTTTTAAAAGCATCTCCTGCATGCTCTATGTAAGGTTGGGTATGCCAAGTCTGAGTCATGATGAATATGAACCAATTTTCGGTTTGTACAAAAAAGCTTTTTTTTTTTTTTTGCATTGGCCCGAAATAGGTCAGTTGGGAGAGTGTCATACTGACGCTCCAAAGATTCCTTGTTTCGATCCCAGGTTTTAGCAGTAAAGGCCACATTTTAGTCCCTGACCTTTGTGATAACTGAAAATGTGCTAGTGGGCAGTATATGCTAATGTTCAGTGGGTGGAAACTAAGCTTTTTAAACTGTCCTGGTTCCATGGTGTAATGGTTAGCACTCTGGACTTTGAATCCAGCAATCTGAGTTCAAATCTCAGTGGAACCTGTACAGTACTTGAGTAGATGTCATACTATTAAAAGTGCAATGCTTCCAAGCAATATCTTAGGGTGATGCAAAATAAGTTATGAACACTTGATTTTATATGGTAATAATATCATTATTACCATTATTATGTTGGCTATATTTTCATTAACCCAGGTAGACGTTACAAGTTAGGCTCTGAAAACTTATATTCGAAAGTGCACATACTAGATTTTTATCCAAAAAATATTTTGACTCACTCTTGTACAAATGAAGACTGTTTGCACATGGATTTGCCTTGATCGCACACAAAACTATACCGCATTTAAAATCGTGCTGCTCACACAAACCTCACGCTTGTTAGGTGTATATGCAGAAACCTGTTTTTTCCGCCTATTTTGCTTTACTTTCCTTTTACACCTTTTCTTGCCCTCATGCTCGGAGTTCTCCTTCCCTATCTTGGATTGTTAGTGAAGTAACACTTAAAAAGCTGCTTAATTAAACATATACTATATGGCCAATAGTTTGTAGACACCTGACCATCTCACCCATATGTGAACATCCCACTCAATATTTAGTCCCCCTTCGTTGTTATAATAACCTCCACTCTTCTGGGAAGGCTTTCCCACTAGATTTTGGAGCGTGGCTGTGGGGATTTGCCCATTCAGCCACAAGGGCATTAGTGAGGTCAGACAGTGATGTCAGGCGACACCACTCCAGCATTGCTAAAAACCTTCACAGACCTCGCTTAGTGCACAGGGGCATTGTCATGCTGGAACAGGTTTGGGACCCTAAGTTCCAGTGGAGGGAAATTGTAATGCTACAGCATACAAAGACATTCTACACAATTGTGTACTTCCAATTTTTGTGGCAACAGTACATATATTTAGCAATATATAGTGTATATATAGTGTAATATAGTGTATATATTGTAATATAGTGTAATTCAATACACAAATGAGCAGGGTGATTTTGAGTTCCAAAACTAAAACTATTGTGCTTTCAATCTTTGCCAGGAAAGTACCCCTATATCTTGGTTACACACTGACAGCTGAATATTTGATTGCCAACGCAAAAAAAAAGTTTTTGCAAAGTTGATCATAAAGGTAAAGTTCATTGCCAATTTGTGACTGTTTTTGAAGCACAAATATAGATATGATAAAGATTAGAATTATAATTCATTTTTGCTTTATTATTAACAATTATGGACAAGTTTCCCAACCAAAAATTGCTCAGGAGCTTTTTCAATACATGATTAAACCATAAAGTTTTCATTAAAAAAAAAAAGACCAGTGCACTGGTGGCTCAGTGGTTAAGGCCCCTTAACTGTCAAGTGCTCCAGGGGTACTGTATCATGGCTGGCCCTGTGCTCTGACCATAGCTTGCTAACAAGAGAAGAAAAGTCACATAAATGAGGGAGAGAGACAGGATGAAATCCAGACTAAAGCAGCTGTGTGATTGGGAAACTCCTCTGTACCCTGCAGCAATGCGTGAAGCAACATTAATGATAAGCAGCTACTTCCCATCTTCAGTTTTGTCAGGTGATAACCATTAGTCATAAAAATTTAATTTTAGAGGTCTATTTTTACTTATATTTCAGTAAATTTAGAAAATTGTACATGAAAGTTGTAAATGTATTTTTATTAGTAATAGTACATGTATTTTTAATCTCATTCTGTTGTGTGTGATGAAGTGAAGAAATTTTGCTCAGACTTTTTTTTTTTTTTTTTTTGTGCTCACACCATGGTGTAGAAACACCATGAAATCAGAACATTTCAGTTCTTTATGGCTTGACTATGACCAGGTGGAGCATATTGTCTCTATTGTGCCTGTTTTTCCAGACACAGATTAAGGTTTGATTTGGTCTGAATAGCTGGCCTTTGGTCATTATGTTCACTTCCAAAATTTAACACAGCAGGCTTTTGTGATATTCTGCATTTGTTTGATTTGTTTATGGCACTGGTGCCAGCCACAAATAGAGCCGTCTCACCAATCAAGAGTCTACATTAAGTTACATAGAAAGAAACAGTTGGTGCTTTATTCAAAGCTATAGTAGTGTGATTATAAACAGCAATTTAGCCATTTTTACAGCAATTTAACTAATTCTGGGCCATTAATATATTCCATATTCCAGAGTCCATCTCTTATGTCTGGTATTATGCTTTGCTTTCATGAATATGTGTGTCTGTGTGTTTGTTCATTAATATTAATGTTGCTACAGATTACAATGGTGCAGATCATCTGTAGTTTTACCTAATGTTAAATCCACATCACTACATAACATTGGTCTTCACAAATAATTTCTTAATGCCCATCTGCTATTAAAATAAAATAATATCAGGAATGGTGGGATGGTGGTGCAGCAGGCAGCGTTGCTACCTCACAGCTCCAGTGTCTCTGGTTCAATCCTAAGCTTGAGTTCCTGTCTGTGTGGAGTTCTGCATGTTTTACATGTGGGTTTCCTCCAGGTTATCTGGTTTTCTTCCACTTCCCAAAAACCTGCAAGTAGGTGGATTGGCAATGCTAAAATGCCCGTAGGTCCGAATAAGTGTGGACATGGTGCCCTGCAATGCACTGGTGTCCCATTTGGGGTGAATTCTCTGGCCTTGTGTCAAGTGATAGGCTTTAGATTCACCATGACCCTGACCAGGGTAAAGCAATTACTGAAGATGAATGAATGAATGAATGATTGAATGACAGGGATAATGTGAAGTGTCACCTATAAGGGAAATCGAAATACCGTGTTTCAATTCAAATTCTAATTTCCAATTGAAATGTACAACCATTTGACAGAAAACATGGGCCTACCTGCCGTTTTATTTGTGGTACTGTCACTGACTAATTTGTCATGAACAGAGAAATAAAGTCAGTACGTGCTTTATCTAAAAAGTTTTACATATAATGTATTTGCTTATGATAAAGAACAATAAACTGCTAGAAATGACACAGATTACATGACATTTCTTATGAAGTTCATTTCAGTCAGTTGCAACCAGAGCTCAAGTTTTCCCAGTGTCTTGCACAGTCTTTAAATATTAAAGTCTTTAAAGACACAAAATACACCAGTGTGTTGTTATGCCATCATCAACTGATCAATTGAATACCATCATTAATTGACTAAATGACTAATCCCCACAGTCCAAATACACACATGCAGGGATTGTTTGGGAAATCTGGTTAGTGGCAGTATACACCTAAAACATGAAGCAGTAAATTGATCAACTTTCCTGCTGCAATTTTTTTTCTCCACAGTATTCAACGGGTTTTTTTCCCACTAGGTTTTTTCCACCCTGTGCTATGATTATTCCTGCCTACTGTGCTAGGATTAGTTTTAGCAAGTAGCAGACACCCATCTACACTCTTCTATTTTACATTTACTATATTGTCTTTAATCCATCATCAAGTGGCCCTACATTTATACTTTCCTAAAAAAAATGCCTTGCTAAAAATTTAGAGTACTCAAACCATTAATATGGTTGACTATCATTTTGTAGGTTATTTCAGTCAAGTCAATATGGACCAACTAAGCCATTAATTCAAGTTGGATTGGCATTTGCACTGAACACGCATTTAATGATAAGTATTTCGATGACAATAATGGCCACAGCTGCATGATACACAATTAAATACAGTAAATGTCATCAAATAACTGTCCAAAGGAGGAAATTAATGTAAAATATTGTAGGGACATAAGTGTGCACTCTGTTGATAA